GTCACTGGGATTAAAAAAGCTACAACTAAAATGGAAATGTCCCTGCCCTCAATGTGCTTACATTCTATGGTGAGAGATAACATGTAAATAAGCATATATGTATAAATGTAAAAGTATATAATTTTATAAACACACATGTGTATATATCTGGGTATATATATGTATGTTTACATAGTTATGCCTGTGGAGTTAGTATAAATTTATGCAAAATAAATACAAGATACATTTTAGGGGAGAGAGACAGTAGCAGGGGAGGTGGTCAGGAGAACTTCAATGTAGAAGTTGTTTTAAGTAGAGTATTAATGAAAATAAAGGATTTTAAGGGGCCAGATGAGATGAGTTCATTCCAGGTATGGGGCCCATGCAAAGGCCCAATCATAGGAGATGTCATATCATGATGAGGGAACACAAGAAAGTCACAGTTTGACTACATTGAAGAGTAAGGGAAAGAGAGTGAAGAATAAATAAGATTAGGAAGGTAGATTCAGGCCAGATTTTGAAAAGTTTTAAAAGTCAAACATGGAAATTTATTATTGTTGTTGTTATTATTAATCTAGAAGCCATAGGGTGTCTCTGGAGTTTATCGAGTTTAAGAGTTACGTGGTTAGAAATACACTTTTAAAAAACTACTTTGGTAACTATATGGAGGAGGGATTGCCAAGGGGAAATAATTGAGGCAGGAAAGGTTGTGCATTTTTAGATTAGTCCATGACTTTCAAATGGTAGTAGAGGTTAACAAAAAGAATTCTGTGTGTGTGTGTGTGTGTTTGTGTGTGTGTGTGTGTGCGTGTGTGTAAGCAAACCTCTTGAAAAAGTATCCAAATGACCTTCTTCTTTCTATATGCCAATGTGTACCTGTTATCTTATTCTTAAACAGACCTGCCAATTTCTTTTTTCACCCATAATGTGTATTCTCCTTCAAAAGATCTGTGATTTCACTGGCATGGGGTTTGTCTCCACCAATGCAGAACACATCCCTCTGATTCACACTTTAATAGACTGTCTTCATGAATTTCCATGGCCGAAAGAAAATAACCTTGTGGTAAACCTTACAAAAAAAACTTTCAAAATTAGATTGATATTGACGAGTTGCAAAGCATTCAGAATAGAACAACCAGGGCCTTGAGTCCTTGCCATGTGAGGACCAGCTGGAAGTAGAGATGCTAGATGGCCTCTAGAAGAGAAGACTTAATGAGGATATGATTTTCCTTGTTGTGGTGGTTGTTGTTCAGTCATTCCAGTCATGTCTGACTCTTCATGACCCCATTTGGGCTTTTCTGGCAAAGATACTGGAGTGGTTCTCCATGTCCTTCTCCAGCTCATTTTACAGATGAGGAACTGAGACAAACAGGATTGAGTGACTTGCCTACGGTCACATAGCTAGTAAGTGTCTGAGGGTGAATTTGAACTCAGGTCTTTCTCATTCCAGACCCTGCACCACCTAGTGGCCCTTGGGATATGATAGCTTTCTTCAAGTACTTAAAGAGTAGTAAAGAAGAACAATTTAACTTGACCCCAGCAAGAACAATCAGGAGCACTGGATGAAAGTTACATAGGAGCAAATTGACTAGGGATTAGAGGTATCTGAAAGAGGAGTGGACTGCCTTTAGAGGTCATGGTCTCCCTCTAATTAGATTTCTTCATGCAAAAGCCAGAGATGGGGATTCTCTTGTGGAGTAGGGATTGGACAAGATGAATAACCACTGCGGTTCCTTCCAACTTTAAAGTTCCCTGATTCTATGATTCTGTTCTTGAATGATAATGAGTACTCAAAGCATTTCTAATTTGATAGAACATGTCAAATTTTGTGTTCCACTGGCTTCAAGCAATCAACGTTACCTCCAGCCATGAAGAGGCTTTGAGGGAGGATGTTAGGGCAAGAGCAGTCTATTCTTCATTTCAAATGTTCAGCTCATCTGAGTCCATCCCACCCTAGATGGAATCAGGGCTGCCACATCACTGGCATATTAAAAGTTAGAGGTCAAGTTCACCTGAAGTAGTGTGTTCTCCCTTATCAGAGACCTACAAGTGAAGGATGGATGATCATTTTTCAGTCATGTTGTAGAGAAGATTTGCATGCAAGTATGTGCTATACTGGATGGCCTCTGGGGTCCCTTACAACTCTGAAATTCTGTGATTCTCTGAGTCAGCTTCTTTGTACTGATAAATGATGTGAATATATTGGCACAGCCACTTCCAGGTTCCATCTCTGGGGACCCCTCCATCAACCCTCTGCTTTTCTTCCCCAATACTCCTTCTCCAAATGCAGTGCAGGAATACACTTCATATCCCTAAGAATCTAGTCCTACAATGTTGATTACACTTGGTAGTCATGATGAAGAAATGTTCAGATCTTGAAAGGAGCTCATTTGCATGCTGTATGGTCTCTGCAACTTGCTAGAAGTCAGTAATGTAGTTAATGTGGGAATTCTTCATTTGCATCCCTTTGCTTGTCATTTAGTTATGATGAGACAGCCAAGAAAACAGAATAAGAATTCATCTTACAGAGACACTAAAAATGCTCTCCTTAGAAAGGTGAAGGAGAGAGGGCTATATTTTACTTGAAGATTATATTATACTAGAACTATAGAAAATTAATAGACTTCCTAGAACCAAGGTACTAACAAGACCTTGGACTCACAATTGAAAAGGTCCCTAGCACAAAGCCAAAACATTTTGATGTATCTTCACCTCCCTCCCACCAAAACTGAGATGAAAAACACATCGTGTGACTGCAGTTGTGATAAATCGTCCCACAGCGTTCCTGCTTATAGCACAACAGCAGTACAAGGGGCATGCTTAGAATTCTCATGGTGATTTCAAAGTTCTCCTGACATTCTAAATGAACGTCCTTCAATTTGACTTGGTACAGAGGAGAAAAATCAAATAACCAACAAAACAACTGTAAAGTAGTTATCCAATATGCAGAATGTCCCTTCCTCCCCCATCCCTAGTTAAGTATTACTTAATCCTTAATTCTAAATCTCTTCGAGCAAAGAAGCAAAATTAGTCAAGACTTTTTATAATGGAAACTTTAATCCAGCCTTAGGAATAATAACAAATAGCTAACATTTATGTAACACCTTCTAAACATTTACTACTTGCTTGACATATATTATCTTCTTTGATTTAAGATGTATGTGACAATGTCATTAGAATATTAGCTGCTTGAGGGCAGAGAATATTTCATTTCTGTCTTTGTATCTCCAGTGTCTAGCAAAATGCCTGACACCACAGTGAGAGCTTAAAAAATGCTTGATGATTGATTTAAATCTCACTACAACCTTTCAAGGTTAGGGCGACAAATATTTTCTTCTTTATAAATGAAAAAACAAGATGAGAGGGGTTAAGTGATTTGCCCAGGGTCAGAAAACTAGTAAGTTCCAGAGGCAAGATTCAAACCCAGATTCATGAATTCATCACTCTCCCTCCCCTCCTATATACAAAGAATTGGCAAGTGTGATCAATTCTACTTCCACAACACCTCTTACATCTTCTTTTTCTACACTTACATGATCAGCACCCTAATTTGATCAGCACCTAAGTAATAATCATTACCTCTCACCCAGACTGTAACAAGTCTCTCAATCTTCTCTATGCTTAGTTTTACCCCTCCCTAATCCATCCTCCACACATCTGCCAAAGTAATATCCCTGAAGCATAGAACTGATTATGTCACCACTCGCCCCTCTCCAAAACCTCCCTTGGCTCCCTATTTATTGCCTCTTAGAATATCACAGGATCAGGGGCAGCTAGGTGGCGCAGTGGATAGAGCACCAGCCATGAAGTCAGGAGGACCTGAGTTGAAATACGGCCTCAGACCAAACACTTGACACTTACTAGCTGTGTGACCCTGGGCAAGTCACTTAACCCCAATTGCCTAAAAAAAAGATTATTTAAGAAAAAAAGAATGTCACAGGATCATCATATCTACTCAGAAGCCATAAAATACAATACAATCTTCTCTGTTTAGCATTTATAACCCTTCACAATCCAGCTCCCGCCAAACTTTCCTGGTATGTATTTGAGATAGAGAGACAAGCATTCCCCTGAGGGGGAAAAAAATCTGAAAGAAAGTGACTAGAGAAAGAGAGATTTCCTTCCCTCTTCCTTCCCCCCCAGCTCTCCCCACAACTTGCAACTGAGCCTGCCTTGCTCCTTAGCGCCACCTGTTGCCTACAGATGTCATTCCTCGTTGTTCAGCCAAGCTGTTGTACGTAATGTTCCTCAAGCAAAAACAGTACAAGGTTTTCCTTGTGCCTGGAACGCAGTCCCTGCTCACATCTGCTTTTTAGAATTCCTAGCTTTCTCCAGAGATTAGCTCAAGTCCCTTCCTGATCCTCCTAGTTTCCAGGGCTTTCTCCTTCAAATTACTTTATATTTACTTTGTGTATATTTTGTATCTATTTATGTTTACATAGGATTATAGGACTATAGGTTTAGATTTGAAAGGTACCTTAGAGATCATTAAACCCAATCCCCTCAATTTATGGATGAGGAGATATCGTTTCCCTCAAATAAGTGTAAACTTGAGAGTAGGGATTGTTTTGTTTTGTTTTCATTTTTGTAGCCTTATCACCTAGCACCAATTATAGCACTTTGTATTCACTCAATAAATGCCTCCTGATTGATTCTTACAACAGCCTTGTAAATAAGTAGTACATTTCCTTCAATGGTTAATTCCAAAATAAATATTCTAAAAAGTCCAATTATTTACAGTTTAGTAACCATAGTCTTAGATTTCAATTAAATACCTAGGAGTCTGTTCAGGATATATCTGGGTAACTTTCTCTAATCCTATTAACACTAATGGGAATTGAATATGCATTTCAAGATGATAGCTGTTAGTTAAAAATACAAGAAGGCTTCTATTATCAAATGGTAGTAGTTAATTCAGGGCATCCTTTATCTGCTAATTGCACAAGCTGTAATTGAGATTCCTGCTTTATACAAATTCAGTACGGCTTTCTGACATGCATTGTTTTGTTTTTCTTCTGCAGTTGATTGGCTTTGTGTATGGCTGTTATGTGATCAGTGTTTTCATGGAGGAAGAGGACAGCTGTAAGTACCGAATGCACTTAGATCTCTGGAACTACTAGGAGAGAGGCACTTTCCTAGAGCTAATTGTTTACTGAGCTACTAAATTCCTCGTCCTTGGAATTACAAAGGATACAAATCAGGATCAATAACGTGCTGATGGAAAGCTGACTATTCAAAGTTTGCATTGAAATGCCTCATATTATGTTGAATAATGCTGGTTGCTAGTTATTTAATCCTTAGTCCATTCAAATAACTGCACCAAGTGAAGGTTAGGTGCAGTGCATTGTGGTAGGCACTGAATAGGTCCCATTGACTAATGACCAATTTTTTAAAAGGAACAGGAAAATTACCTTCTCTTGGTAATCTAGAAACAATAGAAAATGGAGAGTTTGATCATCCCCAGTTGTTGGTGCCCGAACCAAATAATTGTGTATATATTGTGTATATATCCTGTATTTATTAACATGCAAATATGCATCTGGGCAGCTAGGTGGCACAGTGGATAGAGTGCCAGACCTGAAGTCAAGAAAACTCATCTTCCTAAGTTTAAATCCTGCCACAGACACTACCTAGCTATGTGACTCTGGGCAAGTCATTTAACTCTGTTTGCTTCAGTTTCCTCATCTGTAAAATGAGCTGGAGAAGAAAATGGCAAACCACTCTAGTATCTTTGCAAAGAAAACCTTTGGGGTCACAAAGAGTTAAACACAACTGAAAATGACCCAACATCAAACCTGGATCCACTAAGTAGAATATAAGCTCTTTAAAAGCAAGGACTGTCTCAATTTGTATTTGTATCACTAGAACAGTGGCTTGCACATAGTAAGCATCATTAGCTATAAGCAGGGGGATGGAAAAAGGGGAATGGATACTTGTCACAATGAATACACCCTGAAAACTCACTTTTAATACAGTGTCTGGAGAGATCTGAGGGCTGAGAAGAAAGTGAGAGCAATGAAATACAACTTAAAAGCCTGAGATGGGAAAAGGGGGGAGGAGCTCCAAAGAGCTTTGGAAATCAATGCCAATGCCAAAAAAGAGCAAGTATAAAAAATATTTCACAGTAAATTGTGAGCTATCTACCAGAATAAGAAGCAAAGGTAACTTAGAACTATGGAGAGAGAAACATGTTAATAGGCGATGATTCGTTCTCCTCTACTTGAAGATGCTTTTAGGACCTTACTGGAACCATACAAATCATGTTTGAATGAAATCATGCCCAAACAGTACCAAAAAGGCATTTGATAGATAGCTTTAAAAGTCAGTGAAAACAAGCAAAGAACCTAAGCAGTTAATTCTTCCTTAATTCTTTTGTACAGAATTATAATCTTTGACTCTATCAAAGCCAGTCTGCATGTTTTTTTTTTTTTTAATTATTGGCCAAGCTCAGGGTTTCCTTTAATCTCTGGGCACTGTCCACCATATGTCACAGATCTAGATCCAGAAGAAACCTTCAAGGTTTTCAAGTATAGCCCCTCATTTTACAGCTGTAGAAACTGAGCCCCAAAGAGGTTAAATAACTTGTACAAGATTGACATAGATACTAAGTGGCGGAGCCCTTTGCCTCCAAGAGTGTCCTCCTGTACTATGTTGCCTCCATCAGATTCATTTGGAATTAGAAGAGGGATGCAAGAAAGAGAAATGGGTTCTTTCACCACCAACATATCATGAAAACCTCTAAATCAATGGTGGCTTCATCAAGTTGGGGTATCTAAAGAGGCAGCACTGATGAAATGAAACTGGGCTTATCCTGAGATGGACCTTGGAGGAAATATACATAACATAGTTGGCTCCAAAAATGCATTATATGTTGGAACTGTCCCCACTTGCAACAAACAAACTCCTATGGTGTAGTCTAGATGGGATACCAGGTAATTTATTGCAGTTCAATATTTATTTTTATTCAAATAACTAGATATTTCAGAGAGTCGAAGAAAACATAATTTATCAACACAACAGGTATTACTTTCTGGTGATTCATGTTACCAGGATGCAGGCTCAGTTTTTTGGGGTAAATATTTCACAAATGTTTGAACAGTGCCCTCTATTCATGTATACATTTGGAAATAGTTCAGCAGTTCACTTGAAAGTAAAATATAATTTTAGCTTACCATCAGGTTGGCTCATTTTGAAGGTATTGCCTAGGGTTCCCCAACCCCCATCATTGAAAGTTTCCTATCCCCTGTAAGACACAAAATGATGTTTTCCTTTAAAAAGTTGGGAACAGTGTGATGAAAGGGAGATTATATAGGAATTTTTTCCTTACCCATAGGGCCTATATGAAGCTGGGAGATTACATAGAGACTAAACCAAATAATGAAAAGGAAAGAAAATTTGTTTAATTGAAATGATTTGTTGGGTAGTCTGGCCTTTTTATTCTTGTATAAATATATTATATACTTATATATTATATATCCTTATATGTTGTGTACTTACATAAGTATAAGCATATTATTTATTTATATAAGTATATTATGTACTTAAATAGGTATATTACTCATATAAGCATAAGTATATTATATATTTATATAAGTTTAAGTATATTCTAGTGGTCTTTCACTAAAATGATGATGAATCACATTCAAAGCTCACTTTTAATACTGTATTAATACATTACATATACATATACATGTACATATATACAAGATTCTACAGTCAAATTGTTTTTGATACATTCTCTCCATGTCCCTCTCTCCTTCCCCATCCCCATTATAAAGATTAAGCCTTGTTGAGTGCCCTTGCCAAGGGACACTGTACTCAGGCAAAAAGAGGAAAGTGAGATATTTTTTCAAGAAAAGAATTTAGAGGAAAAGGCAAGAAGGAAGTGGGCAATATGCACATATATAGAGAGATATAGACAAAGAAACTTGTAGACCAAGAAAGGCCCTCCCTACCCCTAGATCTTTTGGTTAAGTATAAAGCTATCCCTTCTCTTTTCTCTCCAAACACACACACACACACACACACACACACACACACACACACTCATATTCTTAAATCTCTATGATATGCAACGAGGTAGCACAATGGATAGAGTGATAAGCCTGGAGTCCGGAAGATCTGAGTTCAAATTTGACCTCAGATACTTACTAGCTGTGTGATTTTGGACAAGTCACTTAAGTTCTGTCTACCTCAGTTTCTTCAGCTGTAAAAATCGGGATAGTTATAGCAACTAACTCACAGAGTTGTTGTAAGAATCAAATGAGATATTTATAAAGTTCTTAGCACAATATTCATGCTTATTCCTTCCACTTCTCCATTTCCATGGGTCTGTCTCTTAGGCACTTATCCCAAAAACTTTAATATTCTCACAATAATGCCAAAGCACCTTTAATCATTTAGAATATCTCAATTCAGTGCTTTCCATATAAACAATACTTATTGTATTTGGTTTAAAACAAAGTTCCATCAGCTGAAATTTGTTCTAGTAAATTCATCAGAAGAATGAATATATTTTCCTCACTAATTTGTTTATTCTTTTTTCAAATAACTGGAGATCACTTTAAGGTTTAGGTTTTCCAGACTTAACAATGATTGATCAAGTGTCTTGCATGTTACCCAAACAGGAATCACTTTCAAATGTATTTTAATGAATAAAAAATATTAGAAACTGAGGTTATCTCATCTAGCTATTGTCACCTGAGTACATTCTCACACACCTATTTCATTTTCTGTCTTTGTTTAGTGTGTGTTGTATATGTTTGCGTTTGATTGGAGGGTGGGGAAGGGAAGTAAGTCAGTAGGTATTAGACTTTTCCAAGGGACACCAACTATTTCAGACTATTAAGATCAACTTCACAAGTGGCTTCATGTACCCACAACTCAACAGTTTCTTTCCTACTCAGTACTCCCTAAGGATTTGGGGCTGGAAAATCATCTCATCCAATTCCCTCTTTTTAGAGCAGATTCAGGTATGTTGTTGTTGAATTGTTTTTCAGTCATGTTCGATTTGTTGTGACCCCATTTGGGATTTTCTTGGCAAAGATACTGAAATGGTTTGCCATTTCCTTGGCCAACTCATTTTAGAAATGAGGAACTGAGGCAAACAGAGTCAAGTGACTTGCCCAGGGGCACACAGCTAATAAGTATCTGAGACCAAATCTTCCTCACTCCGGGCTGGACACTCTATCCACTGTGCCACTTAGCTGTACTTTGTGCTACGTAGCTGCAGCTGGCTGATCTCAAAGTATGGTCTGGGGACTCCTGAGGGTCTCTGAGAATCTTTCAGGGGGTTCATGAGGTCAAAACTATTTTCATAATAATACTAAAATACTTTAATTTTTAATACAGTAAATATCAATAAGTAAAAACCACATAAACAAAAGCTCTTTGGTGTCTTCAATAATTTTAAAAGTTTAAAGGGGTCCTAAGACCAAAACTTTTAAGAACTGCTATTTTAGAGGGAAGAGGTAAAGTGGTATAGGTAATAGGTAGCACATTAAGAATTTAAATCAAGATCTTCCAACCCCAAATTAAGAAGTGCTTAGAGCCCTTCACTTTCTCCTAAGGGCCAAAAACAATACTCATCCTAGGATATACTGTGCTGGCATGCCCAAGGCACACTTGGCTTGTGCTCCATGCATGCTCATGTCCCAATTTCATTACTTTGTCTTCTATGTCTTGTTACTTCTCCTTCCTACTATTTGGTTTAAAAAAAAGCATCACTATTTTTAAAAATGTAGCTAGGAATTAAAAATCCTAAAAGTAGCATGTGGAGCCTTTAGTTTGGATGAATACCTTCACAATGTACATCTCTTAAAATGGGAAGTTCTCTATACGTTATTTGTGATTCCTTTGGGATCAGAATTTTCCAGTACTCTCTGCTGCTGCCTTTATATCTGTCTCTCCCTTTGTCACCAGCCTTACCTTCCCTGTTCTGAATTCAAATTGAGCTTTGTAGATACCATTGTAACTGCTATAAGCCATTGTTCTGGCATTATTCCATTCCTGGCACATTTCATGAGATAAAAGCCTAGTCATTCTTCTGCCTTCCCCCGGAGGAAAGAAATACAACTGGTTGG